ACCCCACCCCAACCCCACCCCTCACAAATATGAAGTGTCATTATTATATTAACGAAAATATTGTGATAACAGAAATATTTACCATAGTAATATTCATCATAATGATGTCACTAATAGCAATGGTGATGATAATAATAATGATAACGATGATAAGAACTATTTATAAAGATAATAATGATGGTGATAATGATGATAAAAATGATAACAATAATAATGATAGTAATTATGATAATAATAATAATAATAATAATAATATTAACAATAATAATAATAGCAATAACATTTCATGATTTACGAAACCCTGGTCACCTTTTACTTCCTCATGTCACTCTAGTTTCCTACCTTGACTGTCATGTCAGGCATTTTTACGCTGTTTTCCAGTACGAAAAACCAGGACAACTATCCCGTATTGTTCCTTTACTTTTCTGTATTATAATCAGCTTAAAATCACTTGACTACAGACTTTGATCAGATTTACAACATGCATGTCAGGATATCGCCAGTCTGTAGAAATAGGAAATGTGAGAGTTGTACATGTAGCCGCGTGTGCCTAAATAGCTGCATCGATGTATGTCTCACAGGTGACACAGAGGTGAAATGATCGGAACTTTCCGATCTAGATTTTTCCGTTCTCATTTTGTTTTGTTTTGTTGTAATTTTTTGTTTTAAAAAAAAGAAAAGAAAAACGTTTCTTGTCTTTCAAACTATTTTTATTTATTTTATTATTCCCACAAAGGACTGTCTCTGTTGTGGTTTGTTTCTTCTTTCCTTTCAAACGTTTTTCGCCTTTATCTCTCCTCCTTTTCTGTGTCTGTTACTCTCTAGTCTTACTGTGTTGCAAGTGCCATGAAACTCTTACCCAAACCATATCTTCGACACTTATATGATGTCCTATATGTAACACAAATGCCGTAAAACTGATACAAGAACTCACCTTCTCCCCCCCCCCTCCAACAGCGCCCCGCACGCACAGAGGAAGAGCTCCCTCCCCCGCCCCCCGAGTTGTCCAGCTCACGGTCTGTGTCGTCACCTGTACCTGAGGAGAAGTCTCCGACAGTCACCGTGCACAGTGTGAGCAGGGCGGGCCTGGACAAGAAACTACCCGCACCGGTGAGTTGTCTGTGTGTGTGTGTGTGTGTGTGTGTGTGTGTGTGTGTGTGTGTGTGTGTGTTCGTTATACGTGCGTGTTAGACTGTATAAATATGCATAAGGAGAAACCTGTTTAATTTTGTCACTTTGTCTGGATTGCTGAGTATATGATAATAACTATTATTTACTCACGATGTGAGATTATTACAGAGATTAAATTATGTCTTCAATGCTTTACAGCACTTTCATGAAAAAAGGGAGAACTGTGAAATGAATC